AAACCCCAACGTACAGGCGCCAAGATGGGGGGCAACAAGTATGCCCACTCCTGCCCGGCGCCTCTCACCGCACCGAATCTTAACTGATTAGAATAAAAACTTTATAGTAGAACAATTATGACCAAAAAATTAATGACCCTAAATTGTCATCTCCGTCTTCTTCCGCTTATCTGTACTTGGGTCACGGAGGCTGCAGGTCCAGGAGAGAAACCCAGACATCTCTCTCCCCAGTGACACTTTCAGGCTTGTCCTGGGGGACCCAGATGTGTTCCCAGACCAGAGAGGATGCATAATCCCTCCTGCAAATCCTGGGTCTTCCCTGGGGCCTCCTATCAGTGGGACATTCCTCTAAAGGGAGGTGTCCAGGAGACATCCTAACCAGATGCCCGAACCATCGTTTGGATGTGGAGGAGCAGAGGCTCTAATCCGAGCTCCCCCAGGATGACGGAGCTCCTCACACTAAGGCTGAGCCCAGCCACCCTACGAAGGAAGCTCATTTCAGCTGCTTATATCCAGTATCTCAGTCTTTCGGTCATAATCCCAACCATGACCATAGGTGAGAGTTCAACAAAGAGCTTTGCCTTTCAACTCAGCTCTATCTTCACAATGATCGACTGAAGCAACAACCTCATTACTGAGGACGAGGCCCCAATTTGTCGATCAATCTCCCGCTCCATCCTACCGTCACTCGTGAACAAGACACCCAGATACTTAAACTCCTCCACTTGAGGTGGTGGGTCCATGCTTCATGCAGACCTACCACCAGCGGGGAGGACCATCAAGGTCAGGTGCGATGCATGCCGGGCCATAGGCGAAGGAGGGTTCCTAGCAGAGCTGATACCTAGCAGCAATGACTGGCTCTATGGACGTGGAATGAAAACCACCCTAAAAGGCCTCCTGATGTAAAATAAAGAGAAATCTTTCACCTTTGGGTTGACGATGATCTCAATGTCCATGCAGTTCTGCTCCTGCAAACTCTTGATGGCAGGCAGCGAGATCCACAGGTTGTTGGTGTTGAAGATTTTGAACTTTGTGACAGACTTGAACTCGTCAACGTGGGCCTTGGGGACTTGAGCAATTTCCAGCAACCTCAGATGGTCCTCATATTGGATCAGAGTTCCACCCTGCAGACAGGAAGAAGAAAGTCATCAGCAGAACCCCTTTACACCAAAATGAGTGTGGACTCATTTAGGTGTGATAGTGGTATCCCAGTGATGGGACTGCACTCACCTTCACATCAGCTCTAGTCTTGTCTGTGACCTCCATAATGAACTCACAGCGTCTGTCAGCTGGCTGACTCATCAGGTGATGAAGGATGAATAGGTCAACAGTGGCGCCCAAGTTGTCAATGTTGGACACAAAGATGTATTCTCGTCCCTCAGAGAGGAGTTTGTCCAGCAGACCCGAGTTGTAGAAGCTGGTGTAGATGTCACCATGACCCGGGGGGTACCAGGCCTCTGTGTTCTCACCACTCAGCCCCAAATTGGTAGCAATGGGCAGCAGAGACTCCTTGTTGATCCTTGGGTATCTGAAAGGAAAGTTTTTAAAAGTCATCTTTTAGCAACTATAAAAGAAAAACAGAGTGCATGAATGTAATTGTCAGGTATATTGCCTGTGCAYTGAGAGCAGGTGTCAGATAATGCAAACCCCATCTTGAACATTCGCTGACCTGTATAATGTACTCTATAAAGGACTTTACATTGAATTAATTGTAAATTGGGTTTTCTAGTCTTTTTAAATGCTTTTAAACATATTTGAGACCAGGTGTTCTGGTCAAAGTTAACTGATAAGTCTGTCTCCCATTTCACAATAGGAAGCGATATTGAGTCATATGCTGCACAGTTTTTTGTAGATTTTAGATAGCAATTTGGGGGATTTAAGATGAAGGAATTCTAATGGTGTTTCTACTAAAATATTGAGCTTAAATTTATATTTTATTATAGATTTAATTTGTTGATATTCTCCAGGCTTGTAACATGACCCAGGCACAATATGAAGCTTATGTCAATGATCTCACATCTGGAATGGTCGTCATAAATGAACGTGATCCTAAGGACTGCTGGGTGAATGAATATAACCCAGGTCTCTTGGAAGCGTGGAACGCCAACATGGACATCCAATACGCTAAAGTAATATGGAAAAGATGGAGAAGAAGGAGAAAAAGAAGTAAGAAAGGGAGAAGGAGGAGATGTTTTGACTGCTTTTCGGCCCTTATGCACCCATTTTACATGTTTTCTCATGGTTTTTGGTGGTTYTCAGTAGTTTGATAATAATTAACTAATAAACTAATAAAGTCTCTTCTGCTCTCTTTGTAAATTTTTACTGTAGCTTTGAAAAGACAGTGGCATCCATTTGTTCTTTGCAACACACCACATCTTCAGAGCAAAAACTTGTAAACAGGAGCTTTAAAAAACAAAGTGAGAATATCGGGATGGTGGGTGTGTCTGGATTAGCTGCAAGCAGAGTTACTTCTTTCAAATGTAATGGCCTTGTTTACATAACACTGGAGGAAAAAAGGTCTATTCACATCTGCCATACGGCAGTTCCCTGGGATTTAAAGGTGTAACTGCCAAATGGCAGAGGTCTGGTAGTTCTGACACACTGCTGGAAAAAGGGTTAATTTCACTGTGATTAACCCTTGTGGGAATGTGCAATCCTGCACCTCCCACTGCAGGGGTTGATCTGCATCCTTGGACAGTGTCGGAGCGGGCGCACCAGTAGCTCCTAGCATGCTAACTAGCACCTCCGTGGCTAGGAGTGAAGCTAGCACCGTCTGAATGGTCTGAGCGAGCTACTAGCACAGTCCTGGCCAGGAGCGAAGCATACACTGACATTTGGATGCCTTAAGCCCGCTAGCTAACACATCCGTGACTAGGAGCGAAGCTAGCACCGGCATCCAAGCTAACAAGCACTTCCGTAGCTAGAAGCGACACTAAGCATTAAAAGGCAGCACAACTGTCTCCGGCTACTCCACTGAGAAGCAGGAGCAGAAAAGCTTGCCGAATGTCGGGGGAATTCACCCGTATCCTGTCTAGCATGAGCGGACCTCCTCCGAGTCCAGCGTAGCATGTTGAAGGACACCAGCACCCGGCTTAGCTGTTCCGCTGCGCTCCTTTATAAATAACATGTTTGGATATTTTAGTTTTGCCTAGATTTGGTTCAGTTGTACATCTCCATCCTTACTTTTCTTGCGGAAAATTCCACCTTACAATGTGGTGCCATCATTCATGCCCTTTTTTTACTTTGAGCACCTGCCCCTTTAGTGGTCTCTGCACAGCCCTGGTCCTGGCAGCCCACCATCATTATGACCCCCGCACGCGAAGTGTAAGCGGGAGTCATATTGTTTTTGTACTGTTTATTTTCTCCTCTGGAGACTTTTGGTCAACCGTAGCACAAAAACAGCTGCACCGATCAACATAAAATATGTCAGGACTGTAGATGAGTCTGACCTACACTGCGCCAGCCAACGGTTTTATGATGGACCCCATATTTGAGGAGGGGGCTCCTTTGAAAGAGGGGGTGTCCGGACAAACAAAAATGGTTATAACTCAGAAACTGTTCAACATAGAAGCTTCAAATTTCTTTTGTTTGGCTCTGATGAAGCTCTATCCATCAGGCCCACAATCGGTGCCCCCACCCCCTCGGACCCCCAATTTATCTGAAAAAGTGGTATCTAGACATACAAAAATGGTTATTGCTCAAAAACTATTAA